TTCCTTTAAAACTTACTTACATATTCAGTCTATGGTATTTTCAACATACTTCTGTAGAAGCACATTTCAGTTACCTTCAATTTTATTTTTGTCTGTGAAGAGATTGTTCAGCATTCCCTGCCATATAGGACAAGTTCAGCACTTTTCTTGTTTCTAATGAAATTTTCCCGTTTCTTAATATTTTACTAAATTTTTGAAAGGCATCTTTTGCTATTTCAATGCTTCTTTGGATTTCAGTGTCATATTTTCCATCCTCTGTTAAAACAATTCCCAGATATTTAAACTTCTGTACTTGCTTGATTTTGATATCTTCAATTCATAAGTCGCATCTAGTTTTTTTTTTTTTTTTAACCCCCCTTACTGACAACTATAAGAAATATCCCTAGCTTGCTTAAAAGTAATAACTTCAATAATTGCTAATGTCTGAACCAAGCCCACTGTGACATCTTCGTCTTTTATCTCATGTTGGTCTGTTTCTCTTCTACAAAATGAGATCAATAATCTGAAGAGGAATTAAAACTTTCCTTGCTGCTTCCATTTCCCAATCTTGTTTTTATTTCATTGTGATATTTAATTCATAGCCCACAACCACACTGTATCATAAGATCTCAATACTGAGCAATTATGTCTTTTTCTCTTCATTCTTTGAGTTTTATAAATAATCACTCAGTTTGATTTTACTAAGATAGTCTAAAATTTATTTTCTCAGAAACATTTGGGTGCATTTTACATGTTTTCTATATTGTCTAAAATATTATAAAAATAAAGATAGCAAGAAACAGTGATGAGGGCAGGAGGAAAAAAATAACAGAAATCTGTTCTATTTCAAACACACTCACTCCATTTTCCAAGCCAGTACTGATGGAAAAGCAATGGTAATACCAACTGCCTTACCTGGCAAACTATCAAAGACTTTTTCTCCACATCTTGCTCCATCAGATCTGTACTAACAGAATTGAATGCATATTATTCTCTTTTAAGTATTAAATAAATTGGACTTACATGTACAGTAAAAATTTGATTTAAAATACTAATTGGGATGAGAGTGTGTTCCTTAAATCTGATAATTCCCTCATTTTATAAAGCAAGTTCATTACATTAACATCGTTTTGTTAAATCCAAGAGTAAGCACACAAATGACTAATGTTACATAAAACTGTATAAAATATCAAAAACAACCATACATAACTTTCCTTACTTATAATAACCTTGGCTACATAACAAACAACCTGAAACATTGAGATGAGCATCTCTCTTTCACACACACGCTTGCCAAGTAGGGTTTGTTATCTATAATGAAAACTGTCTTTAAAAATAGCTGCTATCAATAAGATTTTCTATTACAAGAGTTATTGGCCTTGGGTTAAGTTACAAATGTCAAATTCGAAAAGGAGTTAACATCATTGATGTCTGCATTAAATTTTCTGAATTTTTAAACCTTAGAATATTTTTTAAAAACTTCTTTTGCATGGGATTTTTTCAGAAGTGCATGCACAAAAATTTCAAGTTCATAATTATTTATCTAAAATGAAGAATAAATAGATCCATAATTTTATTAATTAATACAAATTTTTTGTTCTTTAATTAAAAATGTATTTATTTGTTTGTTCATTATTTAAAAAGAAATCTTTTTGTAACTCCCCGTCTCAAAATAGTGTGTTTTGTATGGAAAATTGCTTTAAAAATAGGTTGAAAAATAATTTAAAAAAAGGTTTAAAAAGAAAGAAAAAAATTAAAATCATGCACATTTCCAAAATTGACATTTGTAAGTAACAGCTAATCCCATTAACCTAAGGCCAATAACTCTGTAAAAGTCAGGGATCAATTTGACAGTGCCAATATTATAAGCATGACCCTCCTTCTAAATTGATAACAAATCAATATTTTTCAATTCTAACAAATGCCACAACCTAAGGAAGCTCTAAAGAATGCTAATCTACAAAAATTATTTCCAAAAGACTTTTCCCTATTTTTCTAAGTGGACCACTCTATTTAAGTAGTCTTAATATTATAGCAAACATTTATAATTGTTTATAATTACTCTTAGGTGTCTAATAGACAAGGACAGACCTTTATTTTGATTTCCAATCCAGACTACCCCATTATTAAGACAACTTCATTTTGCACTTTCCAATCCCCCTATTTATTGCATGTTGAGACCCTACCTTCCGCAATTATTAAGAACTCTCTTGATTGAGTCACTTAAGAGTGTAATAACTGTTTCAAAACTAATAATCAGGAACAATCAGGAAAAGCAATAAAGGAATATAAACCTTAATGAAAAGAAAGAAATAACATTTTTTTTCCTTAACTCTCACAGATATGGCTTACTTTTATTTTTGTTTGGTCTACATTTTAATTGTCTGTATCATGTCCCTTCAGGGCCTGGGTGATAATGGCCCTCTAACAGTTTCTTTTCTTTTGTTATTTCCAGCAATACTGCTTTATAACCTTTCTTTGCTTCTGTGATACTCATTCTACCATCCATTTTGTGGGCTCAAACTTGTCTTACAGGTTAGTAAGATTCCTCTTGCCTTTAAATGAATCACCCCAAGTGATAAATTCTTCAAGCCTTCTTTCCTAATTATATATATCCCCAAATTTCCAATTGTCTTTCTTTCTGATTCTTAGCAAGTTTCTATTTTTCTTTTCCATTTATTATACTGTCATTATTCATCAGTATTACCTGTATCTTGTCTTCATCTGTAATTAAATTATCCAGCATTCAATGCCCAAAAGGACATTAGACATTACATAACAGTTCAGCATTCATTTCCTAAATTCTAATTTAGCAATTTTTCAGTTTTCAATAATTTGCAGAGTTTCTAAAAAAAACATCTTCAAATTTCTATGTCATGCTTTCTACTGTTTTTTACTACAGTAGTCGGATAAATTTCTGCACTTATTTGTGACATCCCCAATTTGCAATTCACAGTGGGCTGCCCCTTTTGCTCACAACCACATTCCCTCTTCTTATAACTGATTTTAACGATAGCCTTTTCTTCTTGCTTTCAATTATCTTGTCCAATAGATATTTTAAGTCACCCTTCTGAATTAGCTATCAAAACTGTGAGATTAACAAAATTTCCCTTAATCATTTCACCCCAGGCAAAGCAATAAAGCCACTAAGATGCTAGGGTGTTACAGAGTATAAGAGAAAAAGAAAACATTATTAAGGAGAGAGAACAATAAAAGAAAAGCATTTAAGAAAACAAAAGGTAATGATTGACATTGCATTTAAATTTTTGAAGCTCAAAGTTGACTGAAAAGCAAGAAGCCAGAGAGAATTCCACCAAGTGCAAGAGAAGAAACTGTTAGCATAGAACTTACGGTTACAGCTTTCAATGGTAAAATGAGGTGACCTTGCTGCCAAACTAGTACAGTGCTTAAATTCATAAAGTCTAGGTACCAAAGAAAAAAACTCATCAGAACAATTACTATGAAAATATTTATAGAAACAGCACAGGGACATTACAGCAGTGGGAAAGTGACTGAATCTGAGGTGCTAGGTCAGGACAAATAACATTGCAGATTTTTCTTTGGATTTCATCAAGAATTTCTAAATACAAAACAGAAGCACCAAGCCAAATATGGCAGCAATATTCAATGCATGGACAAGTGGTAGACTTATAAATATGCAATATAGATTCTGGCGAAAAAATTCTCTAGCACTATGCAGTGAACCAATTTTCCTAGTAGCAGACCTAGCAATTGATTCAATATAATCTTTCCACTTCATGTCAGCAGAGAACATAAGCCTGAAAAGACACAATGTGTCACTCTCCTGGAGGTCAGCATCAGCCATGCTGATGGAAGACAAAAAAAGGTTCTCTCAGACGATTAAAAGAGAGTGGTTTCATTTTGGAGGCATTAAAATTAACAAGCCATCTCTTGCCCCAGTTAATAACAGAATGTAGGCCATTTTTTTAGATCAGCTACCAATTTGACCGTGTCGAAATGACCAGACTTAACATTAAGACAGGAGCAAAAATAGTTGTATCATCAGCATAAATACCAATTTGAAAACTGATGACATCAAGAATGTCGTTGATGAACATAATAACAATGTTTTAGTTTAGTTGACAATGTAGACAAAGTAACAGTGCAACTTTTTTGGTATATTTGTTTATGTGCATAACTTCAGTTACAATGCTAAAAAACATCTTGAATTCGAACGTCCAACATGGATGTAAGCAAGGCAAATGACATCCACCATACCTGCGTTCTGCTGCAAAACAAAACGGTAAGATTAACTTTCAAATTCTAATTTAAGCAGAATGCACAGGTACTATACTGATCCTAGGCAGAAATGCCGATTTATACGTAAATAATCATAGCATATTTGTCGGCTACTATAACTTACAAATAGATTATTATTGGCAAAAAAATATTGATACAAGTTAAAATTTTGTTCGAGGATGCATAAAAAATTTAATTCAGTCTTTTCTTTCTCGTATGGAAAATGACAATAGTCAAAGAATATGGATGATTATTGATGAGGATTCTTTTTATGTTTTCCATTTATTGTAAAACAATTTAACTTTTAAAAATGATTTGATTTTGAAACTTGTTTATTTTTTTACTGAATAAGTTAAAAATTATATTTTAAGAAACTAAGTTTACACGGAATTGTGAAGAGAACAGAAAAATGACTGAATTCTAATATAGTCATTTTTTTTTTCAATAAGGTTTATCAAGTTTTAAAATACTTGTATACTTTCCTTAATGCACGGATTTTCTTTTTAAGAAGTAAATCTCAAAGTTTCTGAAGATTTCAAGTTATCTATTGACCTCAATTTTATACGGTTATCTGTTTTCTTTGGTAATTTATTTTTAAAGTTTTATTTTTTAATAACACAAGTTAAATAATTATTATCGATAAAATTCAACTTTTCCCTAAAGAAATATTACATTTTTTAAATCAAAATATGTCCTTTGAAGTAATTTTTTCGCAAACTAATCGATGTTTGAATAAAAAATAAAATCACCTTCCAACTTACCAGACACATTATACAAAACACAAACAAAAAGTGTTAACTTTCCAACAGCTTTTTAAGTATTGAAATATATCCACCAGAAACTACGTCGGTAAATAATGAATGTACAACCCATCACCATTTTCGAATCATTTAAATAAATGACGACTTTTTCGTATACAAAACAAACTATTTCATCACTGCTAAATAAACGTGTATCTCGGTCAAAACATTTCGCACCACTATCGTTGTTTTATTTTAAATACGTAAAACAGAATAGTAAAAAATCGTAAAATAAGCTAATTTAATCACTCGTAAAATTGATATGGGATTTTTTTTAGACCTGTAAAAAATTTTTAACGTTCTTCATTAAAGTTTTCTGTTTTTTTCTACTTACGAGAAAGTGGGCCGAAAAAATGTGATTATTTTATTAATACCCGCCATTTATTTAAGTAGAAGTATAATGATTTAGTTTTGTAATTTGCACTTTTTGTAAATTAGCAAACTGACATACTTACAATTATTTACAAAGTTTAAAATAATTATTAATTTTTTAATTGTTTTTTAAAATTTATTTTAGTTTTTGAAAACAAAAAATTAATACGAAACCAACAGAGGAAGTAAAGGTTACTTCCGTTCTTACTTTATCAGCCTCTTTTACGTGTGGTAAGCGCAGCTACGTGGTTCAGCCATGAAGGTAGGTCTTGAAAAATTTTAATATTTTACTTAATTTCACAGTGCTTTGGATGAAATATGGTTTAAAATATCTTCAATAAGGATCATGCTTTTAATATCTCGGTTATTTATGTGTTTATATTACGTATGAATGTCAGATGCTTTGTGATAATTTTGTCATATTCTGCACTAAAACCTTCACGTTGGTCGGCCATGAGTAACACATGGTTTTACACTTAACTTAAAAATATTCTTTATGGAGTATGCCTTTTATTTTTCCCAATATTGCATTAATGTCGATGTTTTTTAAATAATATCTGAGTTTCTAATCTACTCGAAATATTTTTAGACTTCGTTTATATATCGTTAAGTTGTTTGTATGTACTATTACTTATTGACCGGTAAAAGTCGCCATTTCTCCGTCGTTCGCGCTTGTGATTGTTGCAATAATTTTTTGAACTTTAACATTTGTTTTTGAAGATGTACCGATTTCCTTTTCAAATATAGTTTTGTTGTAATCGTTAAGCTGTATAAAACTGATCTTTTAGTAATACACATGGCAGTGACTGAATACATTCATTGTCATCGCTTGTGATTCACATTCCGTCAACGAAACTAAATAGTTAATTCTCTCAAATATGGAATCCTTTTTCTTACTCATTTTTCCATAAATTTGATTAAAAAAAATATTGACTAAAGTAAAGTGTAAGTAAATATTAACCACTAAATGTATGACTTCCAGTTGAGATCGCTGACCGCGTGTTTCTCTTCGACGTAAATCAACGTCTCACTTCATGCGTATTTTTTTTTTTTTTTTTTTTTTTTTTTAAATGTTAACCTCTAGTTTGGTTGATTTCATAAATCTGTAAAAATAACTTAAACTGATTTTCTTCGTACCGATTTACGATTAAACAAATTTTAATGTCTGATTACAGGTATAATAAATTTTTTACGTGATTAAAAACGCCTTTCTTTTTTTTTTCTTCTTCATAGCTTTTCGGGATGCAAGCACCCGAGAGAAAAATCAATCATAATTGTTATTTTAAAAATAATACTCTTGCTAGGTTCCATGGAATAAAATTATCTGAAAACTTCATAACTTTGCTTAACAAATTTCCAAGCAAAAAAAAAAGTTCGAAAGTGTTTTTGTTATTATTTTTTTTTTAGTTAGTGACTTGTAGAATAAAATTCATGGAGTAAAATCGTAATGTCCCATGTGTCTGGCTTAATTAAAAGTTAAGGGACACCTAATAATTTTATGATTTTTTTTTTTTTTTTTGATTTTTTTTTAATCACAAAACCATATATACCTTTTTCTCCCTTTCTTTTGATTTTTCAATTTGAAAAATTTATCCCGATTTTTTTATATTGGAACTTTATAAAATTAAAAAAGACGAATGATGACTAAAGAAAATCTCTACACTAAAGGCCCTAAAGGGTAACATTTCGATGAAATATTTCATTTGACTTTTTAAAAAGAGAAAAAATCGAAATATTTTTAACATTTGAGTTTAATATTCTTAAAAATAAAATATTTCTTTGACATTTCATTGTTGCTTTTAATTCAATCATAAGGTTGCTTACGGTCTAAAATATGGTAAGTTTTGGTCACTAAAGGAGACTAAAGTCAAATGTTATTTAACTACATAAATTTTTATATTTGATCTTGAAAATAAAAACATTTTCAAGATGAAATATAAAAATTTATTCTGGGTATCAGCACATTTGATGAAAGACAAATTTATGTCCGAAACTTGTGTAAATGTTAAAAAAAAGTTATCTTTGTTCCTTTTGTAAGAACTTGCTAAATTCTATACTTCATTTGTCTATAATTGGGAATATTTAATTGGTTACACTATAAAACCCTGATATAATAATTTGCAACAGGAAACGTGGATCTTTTAACTCTTTATCCGATTTCAATAAAATTTTGGATGTGCATGCATTTGTATTTATTTACGAAGCTTATTTAAGAAAGGAGGACATTATTAAAGATTACTTCTTTGAGAAAATCATGCCTGCGTATAAAGCTTCAAACAAATATATTTTAAATTTAAAAAAAAAAAAAACCTTGGAAATATCTAACAGCTTTTTAATAAGTTGTAGACTGTACAGCAATAAAACATCTCTTTAACGTCGTTTACCACACACGCGTGCACTATGGATCATGATAATTGTTTCTCTGGTAGATTTAACATAAAAACCAAATTATATTCACAAGGGAGTTTTTCTTTTCTTTTCTTTCTTTTTTTTTTTTTTTTAGTTTGCCTGTAAAGAGAAATGTTTAACAAGAAACTTGGTACCTAGAATCCTGTCTAAAAACTGGCAAACATAAGTAAACATAACTCCGCTTTCCAAGTTGTAGTTCTAAGAAATAAAGCATTGTTTTGTAGTTGAATATTAAATTTTAGTATCCTTCAAAGCCTGGGAATGTTGTTTAAGTAATGATAGCTAGGGCGGTCATGAGCTGTACTTTCAACATCTGATTTACTCCTGCCATTTTGTTTGTTTACTAATAACAAATGTAACCTTTTTCTTGGGTTTGTGTATAAAGCAATTTCCTTAATTTTAACTAGGTTTCTTGTTACAATGAGATTTCTAAAATCACTTTTTATTGTGAAAATGTAAGTACACTGAAAATTTTGATGTGACATACAAGTTGGAGGCGGAGACCAGACATAGTGAGACTGCTACTCAGACCAAAGCAATCTTGCCATTTTGGTCTTAACTGATGCTAACAGGAGCTTCATACTCCTGATATACTAGAAGTATCTTTCTCTAGATGCCATTTAAAGATGGCATAAGTTAATGGTATATGGATTAAATGCTGTGGCGGTCTAGGACAACTGGGTTCAAAACTACCTGTGAATGTTGCTCTCTGGTAAGTTAGCTTAAGAGAACACACTCTTTAAGGTTGAAATACTATAAACATCAATTTCTAAAAAAAAAAAAAAAAAAAAACTCCATCCCTGAGAATTGCTAGTTCTGATTTTAAATACCGAGAAAGATCTTTTATAAAACTTTGCCTCTTTCTTTTGCAGCTCAATATCGCATTCCCAGCCACTGGCTGTCAAAAAATGATAGAAATAGATGCTGAGAAAAAACTGCGACCTTTTTATGATAAACGTATTTCAGCAGAAATGAGTGCAGAAAGCCTTGGAGATGAATGGAAGGTAACTTTTTTTTTATTATGTAATTCCTTTCTTTATTCAATTAGAAATAAAGTATAAAAGGTTGTTGCACTTAAAATTGTCCATTTATCAAATTTCAATTTTTATTTTAGAGTTTAATATTAAAGACTTATCATTCGTTTGGAATGTATCTACGGAAAGTTTACATGCCAACATTCAGTATTTAATTTTCTATACATAACTCTAACATGTTAGATTTTCTTCAGAACAAATGAATGTTAAAACATTTTATTGGGTGGGGGCATTCCCAGCTGCTTGACACCATATTGATGGCAGTATCATTGTGGTGATTAAAAGCTAGGGAAAAAGCAACAAGCTTGATTAAAACTCTTGGAAATTTATTTTCTGAGAATCCTGTCCCAGGCTACAAATATTTATTGGTATAAGAGGTAAATCTTCTTGAAACATGGACTTTTATGTTGGAATATCAGTTTGTTAAAAGATACCTTGTACTATTGTTATTATGCATTAGGTGTATGATATGGTCCCATTATGTTATTAATGTCCATACTGAGTTGAAGAAACTCGGTATTTGCATGCAGTGTTTTAATCAATCCAGCTGTTTAATGTCACCCCCCCCCCTGTCATTAGGTTGTCATTGGCTTATCACAATTCTCTTAAAATCCTAGTATACTGTATTTACAAAGCAGTTTCAAATGTTATGAAATTAAGCTTTAAAAATGCATAAGGCTTTAAGTGTGAACATTATCAACTGAAAAAAGAACTGAGGCCCTATTGAGCGGCTTACACATAACCCCGTCATTAGTACTGGGCATTATCTCCAATTTAGACCCCCACAAGGCTAGTGGTGGAGATGGCATACCAGCCATTGTCTTGAAGAAATGCAGGCCTGAGCTAGCGCCCACCCTCTCTAAACTGCCTCAAGGAATCCTGTTTTCCTGACTGCTGGAAGTCCTCATTAATTGTTCCTGTGTTTAAGAACTCTGGAGACCCCTCTAATTACCGTCCTATTAGTCTCCTACCCCTCTTCGGCAAAGTCTTCGAAGCCCTAATCAAAGCCGAAGTGGTTAACCACCTTACATCCCATGATCTGCTCTCAGACAAGCAATATGATTTCTGCTACACCCGATCTACAGCTGGTGTGCTTACGGCCATCACTGAAACCATCTACCGGGCCCTTCAAAATAACGGTGAGGCTCATGCCGTGGCCCTAGACATCTCCAAAGCGTTTGATAGTTTGGCATGCCGGCCTTCTTCGTAAGCTCCAGGGTTATGGTATTACTGGTCGACTGTTTGATCTAATATAATCATTCCTGTCAAACCGAGAATTGAAGGTTGTTCCCAATGAATTCTCCTCCCGTTCCTATCCCACGAACGCAGGTGTTCCCCAAGGCTCCATCCTTGGCCCTACTCTTTTCCTTATTTTCATCAACGACCTTCCTGACACCATAGATTCCAAAGTTGGCATCTCTGTGCGAGACGACACTACAATTTACTCCTGCCTCAAAAACAAATCTAGTGTCGGTGACAAAACTAACCTGGCCGTGCGTCTTGAAATGGACCTCCAATCGGTTGTTAACTGGGGCATGAATTGGCTGGTCAACTTTAACGCCTCAAAAACTAAACTACTCTCCATTAACCACCATATAGATCCTTCCCTGTCCCCCATTAGAATGTCTGATAGTCAACTTCTTGAGCAACTCCCTGCGTCTGCTCGGTCTCACGTTGACTGCTGACCTGAGATGGAACAAATACATTGAGTCAATTGCTTCTTCCACCACGAGGAAAGTTGGCTCTCTGTGCCGTGCCAGGAAATTTTTCTCCCCGGAATCGATACTTCAAATATACAAAACAACCATTCGCCCTTTTGCATGGAGTATTGCTGCCATATATGGTCTGGGGCACCTTCTGTTTATCATGGAGTTCTTGACAAGATCCAGAGGCGGAAATGTAATGTAATTGGCCCTGATCTGGCGTCTCGTCTGCAGTCAATCTCACAGGCGCCGCCATCGCCTCTGTCTTTTCTACAAATACTTTCATGGTGATTGCTCCGATGAACTGCTTTCACTGGTTCCCAGACTCCATGAATTCAAGCACCCTACAAGGCTGGCATCCCGCTCCCACCCTTACACTATAGAAACTTTTAAATGTAGCCGTCTCTTCTACTCCAATAGCTTCATACCTCGCACCTCTCGCCTGTGGAACACCCTTCCCAATTACTGTTTCCCTGAAAGCTATAATCTCCAACTATTCAAATGTAACGTCAATCGACACCTCCAGTTACCTTGATCTACCCACTATCCTTCTCCTCATCCTTTCTTCTATCACTATCTGCTCTTGCTCCAAATCTTCTGCAACCCCCTGCATCCTAGTGGCTTCTTGCCTTGCTCGGGGCGTAATGCTTTAAAAAAAAAATATTGACATTTTAAAAGTAATTATCTTAAGCTACTAAATCTAGCTCAATAAAATTGAACAATTTGTGTTGGACATTGTAAGTTTATTATTATAAGTGTTCACCACCACCACCTGACACGGCACACATCAAGTTGCTATTTAAGCTCTTACCAAACACACTGCGGCATGTCTCCAGTAACATTATCCAGTGCGGGAGTGATTCTGTGCTTGCGTTCATCAATGCTAGTTGGGGGGCATAGACCAGTCCCATCACATATCCCTATAAAAGAAATTACATGGGAACAGGTCCAGTGACCACTATGGCTATTTCATCGGAAAACTCCACCATGCCCAATCCATCTCTCTTGCAGATTCTAATTAGCCTGCAAAATGATGTCTTTTTTTTTTTAACACCCTGTATAAAGATCCTTTATACAAGTAGATGAAAATGATTTTAATGGCAATTGTTAGTCTATCTGATGTTGGTATTTAGTAGCAATAAACATCAGTTAGACCAGATCAAACAAGGAATGTCTTTAAAGTACACTTTCATTTTCTTTTAATCACAAAGGTTAAACACAGTAAATCAAATTTTACTGAAATATTTCAGGATCTCACCATTTAAGAGTTGTTGCTTTATTATTTCCAGGGAGGGGGTATGTTAACCATTAACCCCATTGCTTACCACTATGGCAAACCTTTTTTTGCCATGGTAACTATAATCTGGGGTATATGAAATAATCAAGGGTTAAGAACTGGAGAATAATTTTTTTCCAGCGATAACATTTCTTGGCACATATAAATTTTTCTTTTTTTTTTTTACTCTCACTCTCTCTATTACTCTCACTCTCTCACACACACAAAATAACTTGTAATTCATCTTCAATCTGATTGGTTTTTAATTTCATTTCGGTTAATATGAAATGGTGGTAAGTACAATTTATTTAGTATTCAATTTTTGTATTTTAAAACTTGATTCTGAATTAATTGATCTTTATTGCAATTTTTGTTGCCTTTTAACACAAACTTTCTCATTCCAAAATGGTTTACCTACTTTGTCACTCAAGAAAATGTTTCTTTGCAGGGCTATATGTTCAGGATTACTGGTGGAAATGACAAACAAGGTTTTCCCATGAAACAGGGTGTACTGTCAAATGGGCGTGTGCGCCTTTTGCTCTCTAAGGGACATTCCTGTTATCGCCCAAGGAGGGAAGGTGAACGCAGACGGAAATCTGTTCGAGGCTGCATTGTTGATGCAAACTTGAGTGTACTCAGTTTGGTTATTGTTAAAAAGGGTAGGTTGTTTTTGTTTGTTTTTGTTTTTTGTGTGTTCCTCCTCCCTGAGTGCTAAGCATCGCTCAACCCTAGCTGCTTGTCACCACAATGATGATTCTATCAATGTGGTGAATAAAAGGCTAGGGGGACAAAAAATAGCCTGATTAAAACTCTTGGGAATTGATTGAACCATTTCCGAGAATCCTGTCCCAGGCTACATTCAATTTATAAACCTACTACTTTTTGGATGCAAAAAATATTTTTTGGTTTTTAGAAAATAAATTGGTTCAAACTTTTCTTTTTCGGTATCAGAAAATTTATTCTTTTCGGGCGCTAAATAATTGTTTAATTTAGTAATGTAGCACTGGATAAAATCCATAGATCAATATATCTCTTTTGGTTTTTGTCTACTTTTAGTGTCTGTCAGTTATGTGCCATGCATGATACGCGTTTAGGCGATCATGTATCATTCGATATATGACTGACAAGGCAGTGTTGTTTCTTCTTCCTGTGGTAAACCAGTTTTCATTCAAGACTATAGAGCCCAATCTGTCACGCTATTTACCCATAGGTGGGGTGAGAAGGGGATACTTGGCTCTCCAATTCCTCAACCCAAGCTGCTATCCATTGCTCCACTGCAGGCTTATATTCATAAAAAGATTTTTATTCTGTTTATATGCATGCTTCTGAAGTGTTCATGAGTATATAAATGCTTTTGATCCTTGGAATATGAAGCTTCCTTCTATTTCAATTTGATTATCAGAAAATTATGATTAGTTAGAGCTGTTATGGGTTGTCTTGCTAATTGCTGGCTGGGGAATAAGTTTATCTGAATGAGATCTTGATAACCAATTACCATAAGAGAAGTCGCTGGATATGAGACCCAAATCCAGGTAAAGAATTCTCCTACCTGGTGATGTTTGTCAAACATTAGATACTTGTTGGTCATGAATTTTATGAGACTTTTTGGATATTTACATTCTCCTTTTTTGACTACATTCTTTGCAACTGCCTGCTTCTAATCATTATTTTACATCTGCAAACTGCTTTATGAAAATTGAAATTAACTTTTTATCGCTCTGTACATGACCTCGTATGCTGTACAAAAGTTTATCCTGCTGCTGAAGGTGATTCTGATGGCAACACTAAACAACTTTGAGTGAAATTAAGGCCTTGGGAAAAAAGAATACAGTGGAATGGGAAGTAATAATAAAGCAGGGTTTTGTTGTCTATAAATAATTGAGATTTTGTTCGCTAATCCAGCTTTTCGCAAAAGCCTGTGTTTATTTCATTGAATTAGTTGATTTTGTATTTCAAGAGAGCAATAACATTCAATTTCAAAATATTTGTTGGTCTTTTATGAAAAGAGATGGAATGGAAAGAAGTTTGAGCATTAATCTTTTTGACATTTTTGTCTTCTAAAATTTCAATATTCATTTTGTGAAATCTTGTAGATTACAACTAAAAATGTGCTTTCTCTCTTCTCAAGATGTGAATCTGATTTCTTTCTAGGTGAAGGGGAAATTCCTGGTTTAACAGATAACACAGTTCCACGTCGTCTTGGGCCCAAAAGAGCCAGCAAAATCAGGAGGTTGTTTAATCTCTCAAAGGAAGATGATGTCAGACAATATGTTGTGCGAAGACCAATTCCTAAAAAGGAAGGAAGTAAAAGTAAGCATACTTTCTAAGATGATACTCATTGATATAGGTAAATCCACAAGATTGCGATACACAAGCTTTTATTTAATATTTCCTATGAGCAAAATACTTTGCTCTATTGCAACACTAACTTACGCTGGAAGGATTTTTTTTTTTTAACGCCTGACAATAGCTATTTATTTAAGGTGTTGACAGATCTAATGCTGTTCTATAGAAAGTTTCTGTAAAATGTAATTGAAAAAAGTCTAAGCACCTTCTTGCATATGTGTGTGGGAGAATTTTCTCTAAACTAAGGTTTTATTGGATTGTAATTACTTTAGCTTTAAATTTGATAGTTATTGCTCTTATCTTATAATATAGTGTATGAACAACCGTGTCTACAAAAATTTGCATGTTTATGCGCATACAAAAAAGAGGGAAAATTATTTTAAAAATATTGTTTGATTTGTACTAATCTTTTCCATTTATGATTAGCAAATATAGTTTTTACTTAATATCTTTAAAGGGTGAAATTAATACTGAGTTTTCAAAGGAAAAACATATCTAAAATAATTTCATTTGTGAAATGCAACATATTTAGCTTTGCAAAAAGAAAGGAAAGAAAATGGTAATAAATAATGCTAATTGACCACACAGGCACATGCTGGATTACGTTACCAGTTATCACTTTATTAATTTGCACGACGCTAATTTAAATATTGGTACCATTTTTAAAAGTCTTTCAGTTGAAAAGTTGGAGAAGCTACAAGCAAATTCCAGGCTGCAGCCTAACATGTTAATACCATACAGGAAGCATAATCACTGCACTCCCTCTCCAGTTTTTGTAGTTTTTATTTGATATATGGCTTCAATGCTTTGGGAGCTTCTCTTTATCTAGAGCCTGTCTTTCAACTTTAATTTCTTGGGTCCATCCCTGCCTTCTCTCCAAGCTTTCTTTGGTTGTCCTTTATGATAACTTCCTTCAGTACACTGCTACAGCCATAAATTTTCATTCTGTATGTTAGAATGCAGATGCGATAATCAAGTATTCATAACTATGGCACCATGTCTTGCTGTCTACTTTGTAAGTCATGGAAACAGTGGTCTGGTCCATTCACTAAGAGCCGGGTCTGGGTGGAAGGCAGTGCCCTGTTGAAAGTTGCAGGGCCTCCCACTAACCACCCTTTCATCTAGGATCTGTCATGCTCGTACAGGAGCCTCATATACTTGTAGGCACGAAAGCACAGGCTCCTGTTTGCACTCATGGTTCTTATGTTCTGACCTGACATTGTTTGTCTGATGCTCCATACGCCTTTGCAAGGTCATAGAAGTATTCTATCCCTTTGCAGCTCTAGGTGCATTCTGTCACCTTGAAATGGTTGCTATAAATAAACACTTGTCAACTGTTATTTCTGGGATTTTAAGGTGGAAATCACCTGGTACTGCTTTGGAATGAGACTAAAATTCCAGTTTCCGACACTTTTGAATTCTTCTACTCTCTGCAATAGGTATGACATATTTAATTTTTTGATTTTTGTACATAAAAGTGGCCGCATCAACATCCAACGAAGCTTTCATTTGGGAATTTTTCTTTATACTCTTCCATGGCTCACTAATTTTATGAAAGCTACTGGTAACCATCAATGTACTTGATAGTCTTTCTGATAGTTAATTATTTCAGCTATTTATAAATGATGGAATAACTTTTTGTCAACAAGACAAATAAATATGCTAGTCAGGTAAAAGAAAGAGCAAACAAATGCTGGTGTAAACACCACTTTTTTTTTTTTTTTTTTTTTTTTTTCAAAATGAAAGCCTTAGCAATTTTTGCTTTTTGTTGCATCTCCAGGAGTAATAATAGTTATGTCAAAAACATAATGCATTATATCAAAATATTGCCCATCCTTTTATTAGTACACAAAAAAAAAAAAATTATGATTTGATCAAATATTGATTTTTATGTTCTAAATGCCTTTTTTTTTTTTCTTTTTTTTTTTTTTTTTTTTCTCTCCTTTTCTCTCTTGCAGGCAAAAAACCAAAGTCAAAAGCACCTAAAATTCAGCGACTTGTCACCCCTATGGTTCTACAGCGCAGAAGACATCTCATGGCTATGAAAAAGGCTAGGTTTGCCAAGAGACGAGAAGAGGCTGCCGATTATGCTAAACTCCTTGCTCAGAGAATGAAAGAACGTAAAGAGAAAAGGAGGGAACGCAAGCAATCCTCTATGTCAAAGAGCCGAAGCGAATCTTTGGCTGCCAAGGATGCTGCGAAGTTGGTACCTGCTTCTGCCGTTGCTGCTGCTAAGGCTGCTACGAAGCCTACCCCCAAACAGGCAGCTAAAATTGCTGCTGCCCAAATATCTGCCGCCAAGCTTGCTGCAGCAAAGGGTGGCAAACCAACATCAGCTAAGCTTGCTGCAAAGATTGCAGCTGCAGGCAAGCTAGCCACTGCTAAGGCCACAGCAATCAAATCCACTGCAAAGGGTGCTGCTGTAGCTAAGGGGGCTAAAGGAGCCAAGGGAGCCCAGCAAGCACAAGGCAAACTTAAACTTGCTACAAAGGCTGAAACTGCCAAGGCCACTTCAGCCAAAGTTTTGGGCAAAGGACCTAAGGGTGCTGGTGGCAAACAACAACCTCAACCTAAGGTGCCTAAACAAGCAACCCCAAAGACTGCCCCAAAACAAGCCAAACCAGCAGTTGGTAAAGGAGGGGTAACTAGGCCTGGCACTGCCAAACAGGCTGCAGGTAAACAACCCACAAAGCCTACATCTGGGAAACAACCTCAAGCAAAACCTGCCACGGGTAAAGCTCAGGCCAAGCCAGCCACTGGAAAACAAGCTCAGGCAAAACCTGCTACAGGTAAACAACAAGCTAAACCAGCTGCTGGTAAAACAGCTCAAGCAAAACCTGCTGCCAGTAAAACGAGTCAGGCTAAGCCTGCTGCTACTAAAGCTGCCAAGCCTGCTGCAGGAAAAGCTCAAGCTAAACCTGCTGCCAGTAAACCAGCCCAACCCAAACAGAGTGCTACTACAAAGTCCACTCCCAGTAAGCCTGCAGCAGCTAAGTCTGGTTCTGCTACCGGTAAGCCTGCGGCTGCTAAACCCACCACTCCCAAACCTGCAGCTGGTAAGCCTGCAACCCCCAAAACAGCTGCTTCTAAACCTGCAGCCACAAAGCCCGCGACTCCCAAGGCTGCAGCTCCCAAGACCACAGCTGCCAAGCCCGCGACTCCTAAACCTGCAGCTGCCAAACCTGCGACTCCTAAAGCAGCAGCTGCTAAGCCTGCAACTCCCAAGGCTGCAACTCCTAAACCTGCAGCTGCAAAAGCAGCTTCCGCTAAAACAACGCAGGCAAAATCAGCAGCCAAACCAGCAAAGAAGTAAATTACTTCAATGTAAAATTATCTCAATAAAAATTATGTTGGTCAGTTATTCTTATTTGTTTTCTTCTGTTTAACTCGTCTTTGGAGGTTTATTTATTTTATATAATGGTGGTTTCTGCTCACTTAAAATAAGGTTATGCAAAAAGAGATCTTCAGCATTTGCTATCACAATTTTCTTAGTTAAATCAGCTTTTTTCATATATTAACCAGCTTCATTTTCAAGTGGCAGAACAAATGTCATTGAGATGAATTCAAAAAGTGTTTCCTTTCTTTCTTCTTCTTTTCCCCCCCCCTCTCCATGATTGGATGTATATACAAGTTTGAATAATCAGAAATAATAAAAAACAAATGTTCACTATATTTTATTTTGTTCTTCCAAACTAATGTTTTAGTGCTGCATATTCAAATTTTGGTTTCATAAAACTGACAAACAAACTTTTAAAAAGTATCACATCAAACTGGCACACTTAGTACTGTAAAAAAAGACTTTCTCAAGATTTCTGTGGCTCAAACATTTGTTCATCAGGGTTTTGGTCTTAGCACTGCAAATGGATTCTCTGAAATAACCTATATCTTTATTAAATGTTTGCAATCAACTAACAAAAAAGAAAAATTTGTCAACATGATATGAACAATGGATAACTTTATCACAGATCAGATCTACGCTTGTGTGGATTTTTTTTTTTTAACTATGTCTATCCAAGTTTAACCAAAACAGGTATTTTAAATAAACACCCATTAACAATGGGTGTTCAGCATTGCTTAGAGCCAAAGAGAGCTTAAGAATACAGTCCTTTCAATTATTGCTTTGTTGTGGATATAAAAACAAAAATACTTTTATCTCAAGAATGACCGGCTTCACTGAACATTGTGGGCAAAGTTCAATTATTTCATTGGAATCAAATTAGATGCTCAAACCCCATATTTGGTAGATGAAAAGCTCAAAATATTTTTAGTTTTCATGATATATATTTCATAGTAATAGTTGTTTTGAAAAGAAAATTTTTTTTTTTTTTTTTTTGTCACTGGCCTGAATTGTTGCATTTGGCCCTTTTTATTCAAATTTTTATTTATTTTTATGCATGATTAGTGGGTCAAACCATATTCTTACATGGTGGCTTCAGTACAAGAAAAATCATTTACCTCCCTAATTTGGTAGTAATTGTATTTTATTTTTCCCTTATGATAAACAATTACCAAGTTGACGTATTTTCAGGCATAGAGTAATCATTAATGGCAATACTGCCTAAATTGAATTTTGTTGCAGAGATACCTTTTTAAAGTCCTCCAACGAATAAATCTCTAATCTTTCATGTGATGAAATTCTATGTAATTCCAGAAAAATAAAATACTGAAAGCTTACCTCAAATTACCCCAGACCCCCAAAAAATAGCCTTTCTGTTAAGGGTTACTCTTTGATTAATTATGGACTGGTGAGACCTCATCACCACTAATAAAAATTCATATCTTTTATATATAGTTAGTGGATTTAATACCTTAGCTACAAATGTTGACATCTTAGCAAAAAAAAAAAAAAATTCTAACTGCTATATCATGTCTTATTTCAGCCCTTTGCTCTGTGAGGTGTCTACAGGTTCAAAAGTAAAATATTCAGGTGGCAGGGAAAAGCTAGCAAATGAATATAATATACAATGATCAAGAAATACATAAACGAGAATTATAAGCAAAACTAAATTTAAAAAAAAAAAAAAATGTAGAAATATAAAATTCCTTTGCCATAAAGAGTTGAGTTAGCGGTTAAAACTGACTAATCTTAATTTCAGTCACTTAAACTTTGGGGCTGTCATTAATTAGCATGCAATTGAGACCAAGAACCCCATTTTGCATCTCTTGGAATTTCTTTGCTCGAAGCTTGTTCTTTATTTCCAATCCAACTTCAGAAACTGAAATTAAATGTTTGCCAAAAAAAATGGCTTACAAAAAAAAAAAAAGTTAGAACTAGCATTTCTTAATACTGAATCCTCTCATTACTGCACTACCTGCTGTGTGTGTATGTATGTATATATATATATATATATATCCTATCAGACTGACAAAATGGAAGGTGGGGAATCTAGTTTCTTCAGACGCGGGCTTAGCAATGGGTTTGCCATTATCACCAGTAATGACGAATATATACATGGAATACTTTGGGGAAATGGCATTAGAATCTAAAGCCAACTCTATGGTTAAGGTATATAGATATCACCTTCATACTCTAGCCACACCAGGAAGATGTTCAGGTTCTACGGGACCATGTGAACGACCTTCGATACAGTTCACAATGGAGAAAGAGAGTAACAGCACACACCCATTCTTGAATGTTCTATCTCAAATAGGGCATGGGTCCAAGACATCCATAAACCAACATTCTCCGGACAGTACCTCAATTTCAACTCCCACCATCCATACAACATAAAGGGATTGTCTGCTGCTTACAACACCAAGTCATAAGTGGTGACCCAGAGACATTAGATAAAGAATTGGTCAGTATTAGTAGTACCCTACAACATAACAACTACCCTGGGTACATGGCAGCAGCCCCAATAAACTGGGATAGGCGGGTACAAGAGGAGGACAACAACACTCAGAAAACAACCCCTTCACATAAGGCAGGCAGACTATCAGAAAAAATACAAAGGATCTGCGGTCCATACAACATCAGGACAACCTTCAAAAGCTTGAGGACACTTCAGAGATATCTCCTAAGTAAGACCCTCCCCATAGAGGAGAACATGGCTAAAGACTGCGTACGCCATTTCATATAGCTGCGGAAAGAAAGATAAAGGGGAGACAGGCCACCCCCTTAAGGTAAAGCTTCAAGAACACCAGAAAACTAACACGAGGGGAAGTGGAAAAATCAGACATGGCTGACCACATATGAAAAGAAAAGGGAGATCACCACCCTCTGTGGGATCAGGTTGAAATCACAAAGAACATCATTGGAAAATTGGTAAACTTAGGGAATCAGCACATATGCTAGGCCACAAAAATCTCCTGAGCCGACCAAGCATAGAAATGAATACAATATGGGAACCAGTAATAAATACGAAAATTGCAATATGAGCTCTGGTAAAAAAAAAAAAAAAAACATACAATGATAACAGCAAAAATTGCAATATGAGGACTGGTAAAAAATGATTGCTGAAGACCCTGCTTATAATACCCAGAAATTCGCATACAGATATCATCAAGGACTCATGACACAGTAGATAAAGGTGTTAATTAGATCCAGTGACAGGACCCAAAGAATGTTAAGTTCAATACCTGGTTAAGGCGGTGGAGACCTTGAAGAAGGGAATTAACAGGAGATAATTGACATCCATTAGACAGGGCACGTAGAGCTAGAACAGTCTACTCCGGTGTTCAGTTTGACATTCCAATCACCTGAAGAAGGCCAGAGCGTACAGCGTCCAAAACGTGATAAATATGGCAACAAAGATGAGGGAGGACGATAGCCCCAATAATGTAAATAGTAAATTGTGAGTTTAGTTATTAAATCCTTATATAGTAATAACTCATGAAGAATTTGATAACAAACCAATGTTATTTCACTTTTCTTCTTTCTTTTTTTTAAATTTCTATGAATTCCTTGCTAATATATATATATATATATATATATATATCTCCATAAAACTGATCTTGACAAATTAAACCATATTGAAGAAATAACTAATTTATTTATGAAACAGAAACAAATACATTAAGATTTCTTTATGTTAAACTACTAATGATATAGACTTACACCACAATTAAAAAAAAAAAGTAAAATAAAATGTAGAATAATTATAGGTTGTTACCATTATCTTGTAAATGGATGCCCCCACCAATTTTTTTTAGGGGAGTGGGGGGTACCTGAAGAATGTGTGCATAGTGCACTGGTAACTGACAGTCATACCTACACCAGAAGATTAGGATTTCTTTTAAAAAAAATATGGGCACTAATTTCATCAATAAAACCATTGTTAACCTATAGAAATTCTATCTTGGAAGAAAATCTCATTAATATTTATGAATGAGTGCTGAAAAGTTCTCAGCCTGACCCACTTCCTAAACTCTGAACACTGGAAAATATTTCTTTTTTCTTGATCCAACAACTTTTCAACACTCCTTCACAGGTAAGTCTAAAAATTTGTACCTAAGAATTGACAACCTATTTTATTTTTTTCTCTAAACAAAAAAAATTTAATGTAGAATTAGTAAAGTTAGTGTTTATTTTAATCAGCAACATTAATATAGACTGTAAGCTCATTTGATGACTGAGCAAAACTACCACTAAGGAATATATTTGGCAAACCAACTGTAAATATGAAATGTATTAAATGAAAACATTCAGTCATAATGAATGTTTTTTTTAATTTGAGCTTTTCTTCATATATCTGAGTTGCAAAACTGAGAACATCTAAATTGATTATATTTTCAAAATACTATTATTATTAAAGACTTTACTTTTAAAAAAATATATTACTCCTTTTGCAAAGTCGTTTTAGATTTTAAATATAAGTTTTGATGAGTGAGCCAACTGTTTAAGTGAAACAGCAATTGATGATTTCACAAATGAAATGCTACTGTATATACTTTTCATTCTATCATTTTGAATTGCTGTAATATCTTAAATATACATTTACTTTTGTAATTGAATTTACGTCAATCTGTTATTTATTAATGAGGATTAAACAATAGTAATTGTCTGTAAAAATAGCTTGCTAAATGATTCTTCTATATAACCTGTTGGTTTCAAAGAAGTTTTTTAAACATCAAGAATTTAGATTTGTCTCTATAATTGAAACGTGAGAGAAAGCCACTTATTTTACCAACATTGTTTGGGCAATCCTTTGGTATTTTTGTTTTTAAATAAGTCTATTTCACAAATATTTCTTCACAATAAACTGTTTTCTTTTAGCTTGAAACAAAAATCTTACAAAATCAAAATGTATTATCTGTGAGAAGTAAAAAAAAAAAAAAGATTCACATTTCGTCTTCATATTGTTCCCAAAATAA